AAAAAAAAAAAAAATTAATTAAATTAAGAAAAGAAAGCAGATCAATGCCTGCCAAAGTCCAGGGGTTGAGGAAAGTGATTGGTTGCAAAAGGGCACAAAGAACTTTTCAGAATGATGGCAATGAGATATTTTACAGCATAATTGTAATTGTTATGAATTGTTATGTAATTGTTAGTGAATTTGTGATTGTCCCAGTTTACTGCCTGGAGAAAGTTGCCATTTTGCAGCACAGGAAGAGGGAACCAAGTGGAGCCCAGCTGACTTCCTGAATAGAGAACAAGGAGTTAGAAAGTCAGAGAGGTTTGAGAAACTGTTGCCTCTGTGGGTGTGCAGCCTGGTGGTGAGTCTAGGTCCCTTGTTGGTCATTAGGGCCATAAGACAGGAACAAGTTCTGCAAGTAGAGCAGAGGAGAGTGAGTGCAAGCTGGAACCCGCCAGTTAACTCTGTATTTGTCTATCATCCCCATCTGACCACAAAGAGTTTCAGGTAGTAATGGCCCTGCTTCACTTCTGTTTCCCAAATCTGGTACAAGTTTCTCTGTGGCCAACTCTAACTAGAACTATGTATGGAAGGGAATTTTGGGAAATACCCAGCTTGACCAAGTTGACAAGAGAACAAAATACACATAGACACAGAAAATTTAAAGAACCATCTTTCATTACCAACTACTTATTTATATGAATAAGTTTTCTTAGTGCTAGTTCAATAAAAATGAAAAATAGATTTGGTGATTATCACTGTATTTTATAGCATAGCATAAGTAGTAATATTCAACCAATGATATTAATTGAAAAGAATTATCAGTCCTATCTAACTCATTATGAGAAGTATCCAAAAAATTTTTATGATTAATAATTATTTATTGGCCAGGAGTGGTGTTTTACACCTGTAATCCCAGGCTGAGGTAGGAGGATAGCTTGAGGCCAGGAGTTTGAGACCAGCCTGGGCAACATAGCAAGATTCTGTCTCTACAAAAAAATTAAAAAATTTGCTAGGCATGGTAGCACACACCTGTAGTCCAAGCTACTCAGGAGGCCGAGGTAGGAAGATCCGAGCCCAGGAGTTGGAGG